CACACACACACAACACACACACACACAACATACACACAACACACTCGACACACACACACACACAACACACACAAACACAACAAACACAGCACACACAGAACACACAGAACACACACACACACACACACACGCATTCTGCCTGAAGTACAACACGGCGGTGTGCAACAAAACGGCGTATCTGACAAATACTAGTACCAGACTAGTCAACTTCACTTTGCAAGGGCCCTGAACACTCGTGGTTTACTTTAGTCTCCATTTTAGATTCAAAAGCAAACGTCTAAATTTGGGCCCTCAATGGATACCGGAGTCCTCGCTCGTAATCCGCTTAGGCTTGGTGTCCAGCTGTTTCTCGCCAGCGCACGCAGCTCGACTTCCTTGGAAGGCAGTAGTATTGGGTCACGTTGGCTCCTGATGCCTTGGACACTATTTTTCCAGTGCGTGCACATGTTGCAGTAGAGTTCTTTGGTTGCACGTGATTGCACGCACCAATTCGTCATCGACCCTTGCAGGCAAGCGTTTTTTCAAATGCCTTGCATGATGTTCAATCCAGATGTGAGTAGGAAGGGCCTGAAAGCTGACTGACAGGAAAGTAAGACCACAGCCTCTCGTGTTGAAAGCTTGGCACATCAGATTGATGATGGTGCACGCCTCATGTCCCTTTGCCTTTTTGGGGCCGAGAGACATAAACAACACGTGCAAACCTCATGATGCATAGATGTTTGGTTTTAACATGTTCTGCATGCCGGTTGAGTTAAAATGCCAGAAGCCCTCAACTGTCGATGAAACTACAAATCAATGCTAGGCAGCCCAAAGCGCAGGGGAAAGTCACCAAGTATGCTATGGCTTTTAACTGTGCGCCAGATCGGCTATTTGTTGTGTTTCGCTGTTGGACACACTTCGCAGTTTAGACTTGTTTCGGTTAATCCACCTGTCAGGTGTCCCCCCCTTCGCGGGAGATTGACGTTTTGCTAAGAGTATATCTAATGGGGGGGTGTGGCCTGGGTTTCCATGACTTTGGGCGAGTATGCCAGAAGATACCCGTCAACGCTAGTGAACGACGCTACGGCAGTACTGGTTTTAAGCACCAGTTTCCATCGACCATCTGGAAGGCAACCAGAAGGTTTTGTTTGGAGTCGATTCACGTTCGGAGCCTTTGCTGATGTTTGCGGTTTCCAACCCCACTAAACCTGGAACACACCAAAGGGGTCTCTTTTACAGGAACATGGGCGTAGCAGCGACCCACTCAGCTCTTGCGAAGAAAGGTACGGGCGCGGACCAAGTCTTTGACTTCCTGACGGAGGCGAGCGGCCATGAGGTCAGCCACTTCTGCTTCAGTTTGTGATCCCATGGTTCATGTTGTCCAGGCCTATGTCCTGTCGTTTTTGTTTTGATTTGTTTTGATTCATCCCAGAATGTTTAGTCAAGCTTTCAAGCAACTAGAAGTTGCCATGTGATTCCGGGTCCATTGGAAACGAGTGCTTCCGAAAGCAAGGCCCCTTTTTTGCTTGTTCTCAATAAGGAATACGGGAATACTTCTCCTTTTCCGACTTTCAGACACAGTCAGCTCCTTCGAGAAAGAGCTACAGAGATCTTTTCAGTGAACGGAACGCATTTGCACATGGGTCCGAAATGGCGGTCCTTTGGTCTCATGTAAAAGGGACACCAAAAGGAATTTGATGGCTTGAAGGGACTCCTACTTTCAAGACGCACCCTTTCAAGGGGATCCAACTTTCTCTTAAAGGCTCTCAGAAGGCCAATCTTGCATTCGGATATTTGCGATGGGTACGATGTGGCTCACTGGGAGCTTGGAGTTTCCGGGCGCTTTTGGGAGTGGGTTTTGATGGTTCTATGCGGAACTTTTGGGATTGTGTGGAATCGTTGATTGATGGTACATTTGCACCGGTGAGCTCAAACAAGCTCACCTAGCACTTCCTTAGCTCAGATCGTCAAATCAGACAAATTCGCCCAGATTGATGTGTGCCATCTTTGCAGGCGGCCGTCCTTTGGTTTCAAATGGCCATGGGCTCCGTACCCCCAGTGAACATCGCAATCCCCACTAAAATCGGTTCCAAGAGGTGGTGAATTCACCTATCCCAAAATGGTTCCATTGGTTTTGAGCCATGGCCATTGGTTTAGTCTATTTTAGTGGGGGGGTACGATTTGGATTTTGACCCATGGCCAAATGGACGCCCCAAGTTCTCGTCGCAAGCGTGGCGCTTGACCTTCCGGTCGCTCGGCGGCTCCGGTCAGCGCTCCGGAGGCGCTGCTGGCACGTCGCCGCAGCCAGGAGGAGCAGCTGCGGCAGGGCAACGCCTGCAACGGCGTGCAGCCCTTTGGCTCATCGATTCCTTCGAGATCCATTTGGCTGTGGGTCAAACATAGGGTAAACCCAAAATGGATCGAACCCTGGTAAATGGACACGTGGACTAAAACCTGCGGTCCCCTTGTGGTTTATTTTTGACCCATACCCATTTCCCCAGCCCCTGGGTTTTGGCGTCCCCCCAAAAAGGAGACTCCAAAAGGAAGCGATATGAGTTTTTTGGGGGGTCGATGGAAAACTCTGTGGGGTAGCTGTTGAGTTGGCAGACCTTGAGTTTTTATGAGTTGGCAGATGCAGTTCGAACTGTTTTTGTCCAGTCAAAGCGGAAGGTCATGTTTCTGGGATGTTGCTGATGTTATATGTGTGTGTGTTTTTTTTCTTATCTTGTAGTTGCTGCATATGGGCCATAATGCATTTAATTTTCAGCTGGGCAAAAGTTAAGGTAGCTGTTACTTCCCGTGACAGGTTTGGGGGGGGGCTGTTGGATTTTGAGTGACATCCGGCCGCCGCAACCAGCCCGCCCGCTGACAGAGTCTGTGACAGACAGCTGTGACAGAGCTTGCGACAGACAGCTGTGAACGCTGTCTCAGGCTTGCGCCGGTGGCCGGGCCAGGACAACTGTGACAGGCCGAAGCCAATGGCAGGGCCAGGGCAGCCGTGCCAGTCCAAAGTCTGAGAATCCCGCCAAAGTCCAAAGTTTGAGGCTCCCGCCTCGCCAGTGCCTTGACAAAGCCTGAGGAAGCAGGCAGGTAGCTTCATCAGCGTGGACAAAACCTTTTGTCCACTGAGCCTTTGAGCAGGCAACTGTCTTTAGGCAAGCGATGGTCGGAATCTGAGTTTGGAAGGAGGCAGAGCAGGGCGCTGATTGACCCACATGGTTTTGCTCGGGACTGTTGTTTTGACCTCAGACGCGGTCTTTGTCGTTTTCCGAGTGCCTGTCAAGGAAGGCACAAGGGCATTGGTCGATTCATGGGTTCAAACGGCTTTTGTGAGAGATGCGGTGGCAAGGGGGCATCGCATGGAAAATGCTTGCTCGGGCCGAATTCCCCTGAAGACACTAATTATATTTTGAAGTATGGCTATGACCACTCCCGAACTGTTCTGATTTTGCTTGAAGGCGATCTGAATCACTGAGGTGGGTGGATGCAGCCAACGCTTGGGCTGACGACAGCGCTGACAAATGCGTGGCTGACAAACGAGTCCTGCGAGTGCCGGGGTAGGGTTGAGTTGGTTTGGCGTTTGGGTTTGAATGCGCGCGCTCTGGTTTTTAAAGCCAGCCACACTGGAGGACATAAAGGCAAGCTGCTTTCTGGTATTACAATTCGTTTGTATTTGTTGTCGCCACATAGTGTTGCCTTGTGCTTTCTAAAAGCTATGGTCCAGCTATTCAGTGGCATCCCGTTTGTTTCTTGTTGGGGCGTTTGCCCTTTGACATCAGCGAACGCCACAAACATAGGAAGAATATAGAGGGCTGAATCATACACATTTTTCATGGCTCCCTGCAACACCGCTCTTGTTTTTGGCATTTAAGAGACTTTGTTGCCCAATGCTCACTGGTCTCTCATACTGAGCAAGGCTGCATGAGAATGTGCGTGTACGATGGCCGTCGCACACCGTCAGGCAGCATCTTCAAGCAAGCCAACCTGTGCAGGAGGCGAGCAGGTTGTTTGCCTCCTCGTTAAGTTGTGTTGTGTTGCGTTGCAATGTAATCAATACGTGTGTTGCTCGCTTTGCTCATTTGTTCAGTGATGTTGGGTTGTGTTACTGAATCACTTTTCGGATATACGCGCCCCCTCGACATGGTATGATTGGGTTTGGCCGTGGGTGGTTTCGGCGTGGCAACTTTGCATTTAGCCACCAATTTCATCTGGGTCGAACCCACTGCGCCTGTTTGCTTGCAGACTGCTAGGTTACTGGACTTGCTCATGGGGCCCGTGTTTTGCTTTATTGCAGGCGTATCATACTCTTCTTGCAGCCTGATGTTAGATACAAACTGATTGTGTGTCTGGGTCAAGGTGTGTTGAGCCTTGGCACCTGGGATTGCCACTGGACCTGCATGATGCCAGGGCCTATGCCTGCGCCGGAGAACCCGCCGGAGAAACCGCCAGGCAATGCTTCTGCGGTGTCCGACGAACATGTAGTCCAAAGGATCCCTGCCATTTGGCTCCATTTGTGACAGGGGAGGGACGAAAGGAGGGGCAATTCCCTGTCATTCCATGCGCGGGACATTAAGATGAACTTCAGAAGGCGGCTTCAGGGCGAAAGAGCCTCCACAAGCATGTTTGGCACGATTTCGATTAGTCGATGCCTATGGGTTTCTGCGCAGCTTCATGCAGATTATTCACTGAAGGCGTATTTTGTTGTTGTGTTTCACCCTGTGTGGCACTACTTTGAGCAAGGCTGGCAGTGTTACTGCAAGCTTATCTGGCCAAAAAGGCAACCAAGTATTCTATAATATATATATATATATATATTTATATTTAGGCATAGACAAATGGCAGCGTGGTTTGTTGGCATTTGCAATGTACTTGTTCCATTTGCATGCGAAGTCTGCGATAGGCTTTTGATTCTCTTAGATAGATTGCCAGTTTGTGATTGGCCTTATGTTTTACGCGTGCTTTGAATTGGATTTGTGTTGACCCCGGTTTGTGTTGACTCCGACTTGCTGTAGGCGTGCCGGATGCGACACACCAACTGGAGCAGCTTGCGAACATGCCGGAGAAGGGATCAGGCGGTCGATAGCGTTGCGGTGTGCACTGGCAGAAGCATTGCTGTTATTGCTTCCCTGTAGGCTTGTTGTAACTTTAGAGCCTGCGGCTCAGTCCGCCGACATCTCAGTGGATGAAGGTCCGCCCAAAGGTTCAACGAAAAGGCTCTTCCAGGAAGAGTGCGAAGCTTCATGGAAGGCGAAGGGGGGGGGGGCTTGTTTTTGGGATCCATTTTGGCGGAATTTCTGATAGGGAGAGACACTTGGGCTCCATATAGGTTCCCAGAGTTTTGTAAGAATTTCTTGTAAGAAGCTTCCCGCTTGAAGGGAAGAGGTGTTTTTGATTCCTACACCTTGGGAGTTGCTTGGGGCTGGTTTGATTATGGGTGGTTTTAGGCCCGCTTAGAGGGTGGGCAGAGTCCCAAACAATGCGCTGCAGGTCATTGACCTGCAGATTTCCCAGCAAAGACGATGCAGGTGATTCCTGTCAGAGTCCCAAACAATGCGCTGCAGGTCAGTGACCTGCAGATTTCCCAGCCAAGCTGCCGCCTACACGCAACTCAAAGATGAGCAGGTGATTCAGAGTACAATGCGCTGCAGGTCATTGACCTGCAGATTTCCCAGCCAAGCTGCCGCCCACACGCAACTCAAAGATGATGCAGGTGATGCCTGGCAGAGTCCCAAACAAAGCGCTGCAGGTCATTGAGCTGCTCAAAGATGATGCAGGTGATGCCTGTCAGAGTCCCAAACAATGCGCTGCAGGTCATTGACCTGCAGATTTCCCAGCCAAGCTGCCGCCCACGCAGCTCAAAGACGATGCAGGTGATGCCTGGCAGAGTCCCAAACAATGCGCTGCAGATCACTGACCTGCAGATTTCTCAGCCAAGCTGCCGCCCACGCAACTCAAAGACGATGCAGGTGATGCCTGGCAGAGTCCCAAACAATGCGCTGCAGGTCACTGACCTGCAGATTTCCCAGCCAAGCTGCCGCCCACGCAACTCAAAAAGATGATGCAGGTGATGCCTGGCAGAGTCCCAAACAATGCGCTGCAGGTCATTGACCTGCAGATTTGCCCGCCCACGCAACTCAAAGATGATGCAGGTGATGCCTGGCAGAGTCCCAAACAATGCGCTGCAGGTCATTGACCTGCGCATTTCAGCCAAGCTGCTGCCCACACGCAACTCAAAGATGGTGCAGGTGAGTCCCAAACAATGCGCTGCAGATCATTGACCTGCAGATTTCTCAGCCAAGCTGCCGCCCACGCGACTCAAAGATGATGCAGGTGATGCCTGGCAGAGTCCCAAAAAATGCGCTGCAGTTCATTGACTGCCGCCCACGCAGCTCAAAGATGATGCAGGTGATGCCTGGCAGAGTCCCAAACAATGCGCTGCAGGTCACTGACCTGCAGATTTCCCAGCCACACGCAACTCAAAGATGAGCAGGTGATTCAGAGAACAATGCGCTGCAGGTCATTGACCTGCAGATTTCCCAGCCAAGCTGCCGCCCACACGCAACTCAAAGATGATGCAGGTGATGCCTGGCAGAGTCCCAAACAAGGCGCTGCAGGTCATTGACCTGCTCAAAGATGATGCAGGTGATGCCTGGCAGAGTCCCAAACAATGATGCGCTGCAGGTCACTGACTTTCTCAGCCAAGCTGCGGCCCACGCAACTCAAAGATGATGCAGGTGATGCCTGGCAGAGTCCCAAACAATGCGCTGCAGGTCACTGACCTGCAGATTTCCCAGCCAAGCTGCGCCAACGCAACTCAAGATGATGCAGGTGATGCCAGGCAGAGTCCCAAACAATGCGTGCAGGTCACTGACTTGCAGATTTCCCAGCCATAGCTACCGCCACGCAGCTCAAAGACGATGCAGGTGCGTCCAAACAAGCGCAGCGGTCATTGACGCAGTTTCTCAGCCAAGCCCGGCCCACGCAACTCAAAGATGATTGCATGGTGATTGCCAGGCAGGGAACCAAACAATGCGCCTGCGTCCGCGATGCAGATTTCCCAGCCAAGCTGCCGCCCACGCAACTCAAAGATGATGCAGGTGCTGCCTGGCAGAGTCCTAAAAAATGCACTGCAGGTCATTGACCTGCAGATTTGCCCGCCCACGCAACTCAAAGATGATGCAGGTGATGCATGGCAGAGTCCCAAACAATGCGCTGCAGGTCATTGACCTGCAGATTTCTCAGCCAAACTGCTGCCCACACGCAACTCAAAGATGGTGCAGGTGAGTCCCAAACAATGCGCTGCAGATCATTGACCTGCAGATTTCTCAGCCAAGCTGCCGCCCACGCGACTCAAAGATGATGCAGGTGATGCCTGGCAGAGTCCCAAAAAATGCGCTGCAGTTCATTGACTGCCGCCCACGCAGCTCAAAGATGATGCAGGTGATGCCTGGCAGAGTCCCAAACAATGCGCTGCAGGTCACTGACCTGCAGATTTCCCAGCCAAGCTGCCGCAACAATGCC